ATTTGGCATCGGAAAACGAACTACTGATTTCATACAAAATTCCTTTCGTCAAAATAACCAAAACTCCCCCACTCCTCGCGGAACTAGCGAAGTGAGGGCTCAAGAAAACGTGCTCGAGTAATATATGATTTGGTTACTTTTAGTAGATGCCGAATTTCTATGTAATTACGGATTTTTTAGCTTTCTAATTACCGTTCTCAAAATTGTAATATCGCCGCTCTGCTAATGCAATATCCAATTTTTTGTTACATCTTTTTACATGTTTAGTACTATGTACACATTTCATATATTTTTCTATTTCACCAAATATTCTTTTATTCCATCCATTTTCTTCAATTATTTTACAATTTTGTAATGAAAAAAGTAGCATTTTCCCTACATTATTGGTGAAATTAGGTGAGAATTGAGAAATAGATGAGTATCGTGTCCTTCAACATTAATTTCTTAGAAACTCTGGCGATCGCCAATGTGTACACTTCGATGAGGATGTTGCACGCTGCAGTGATTGTGTGCTGGTCGTAGATATCGCCATAGCTTCTATTGCATCTAGGCTGCCACAAAGTGCATGTAATCTTTGTTATATGCATCTTGTTCAGGCTGCTAAACTACCGTCCTGGATAAAAATGGGTGACGTTTATACAAATGTTGGGAAAGTTGTAAAGTGCAAAGTGTACATGAACTTTTGCTATCCGAATGATTTTTAAAACGTTTGTATTATATAAAAAAATGTTTGGGAAATTTTTTACAAATGTAATTTCGTATTATGTAAATTGTTTTATAGTAGACGTATTTTAATACAACATATTACTAACGTTTTAGGCACCTAAAAAAGCACTGTTTTTAAAAGAAACAGAGAAAGGCATTAAAAACTTAAAATTGGAGGGGAAAAAACAGGAATATATTTCATTGCACTGGCTCTAAAATCAGTCAATAGCAAAAAACTATACAACATAAGAGAATAGACTATTAATGAACAATTAGTGAGTGAGAAACTGTGGCATCTTTACAGTATTGAGCTCGGTTACTACACTTACAGGCACTGATGAAGTACTTCGGGTAGTGAACAACTCTGGCAGCTGCGGGCAGAATAATGACGCACCTCACGCCTGGCAGAGATAGACTGACACAGCGCACGTACCAGAAGGCCTCCCAGAAGGGAGCATCGCCTTGCCCTCCGAGACACGAGTGCTTCCATGACGTCGTCAATCAGTGCTCAGCGCTTACGTAAGCGCCCACCAATCAAACAAGTGCCGAGAGACCACCGTTTGCTATTTTATTTGTGCAAAGAAAATGCGAAAAAAGAAATTTGAAGCCACAATGCGGTTCCAAAAAGTAGGTGACCTGCAAACGCAAGTGACAGCTTCAGCCGAGACAAATCGTGGAGTTTCGTCGTTACTAGTTGAAAATGTATGTGATTAGTAGAACGTAAAATGATTTTATTATTGGTTACAAACACAAGTTTAAAAGGGGGATATATATATATATATATATATATATATATATATATATATATATATATACACACACTTTAAGAAAATAAGCATTTAAAAAGAAAAAAAATGTCTAAAATGGCATTTAAGGCATTTATGTCACCAAAGACAAAATAAAAATTCGTCAGAATGTTTGTTTTTTCCATAATTCACATACATATATAAATTGCCTTAATATACTTTCAATAGAACAAAACAGATACTCTGTCTGATCAGCACTACGCCGGGTCCCAGCAGCCAGCGCCCCCCCCCCTTCAGAGGCAGAGCAAACACTTTAATCCGCCCACGCGCCGGCCTCAACGACTCAATGAAAGCGCGGCCCGGCCGCCTTCATGACTCACCGCCCGACACGCGGCCGCACGCAAGCCAATGGACACGAACACGCGCCCGCTCTACGCGATACGAGGGAGAAGGTGGGGACGGCAAAAACATCGAAATTATACCGTCATGTTTTGATTTCGGCGTTTTCTTCAGATCGATTTTTTTGTGCAGAAACTTTGATGTTTTCAAAAACAATTTCTCACGGTATAAATAAATTTTGACACTTTTTCATTTATTTTGTGGAATACTCAACCTTATCGTCGATTGAAAACTGTCAGTGTTGTCGATCCCCAAACGACACTATATTCGTACCTGTCTCCAGACGTATTACATTTTATAGTTATTTTTGTACGTGGTAATTACATTCCACCTTAAATTTTCTAAACTTTATGATTCAATCCTGACGTGTTGTTTATCACATTATAACCAAGCCATTTAAATTTGATGGAACTTTTTAAAGTAAAACATCGATATTTTAAACATCTATGTTTTCATCGACGTCGAAAACTTTTTTCGTGATATATCGATGTTTGTTGGTCATATATCGAATTAGATATCGCTAGGAGGGAGGTAACATCCACAGGGACCCTAGTGAAAGTGGTACGCCTACAAGGACGGCAAGAAGCTAAGAACTGTTCTAATATCTGCAGTATTTTTACATTATAGAAGCTATTCTTATTATATTTGTGAATAATAATGTTCTCTTCTGGTGTTAAATTGTGATATATCGGTGATGTATCGAAGTTTTGCTGAAATTTCCAAACACTATACTTCGATTTATTTAACCGTGAGTTTGAACTAAATCAGCTGTTGACGGTTACATCCAATCGGGAGCTTGAACGTCCCCAGAGTGTAGCGACAGACAGGCTCCCGAATGGATGAAACCGTCAACGGCTGCTACTTGCCAGTCGCACGACTAAATAAATCGTCCTATATGTGGGTATTCTCTCCCTTTGCGCAGAGTCGCCGAAGTTCCTCGCCCAATGGAAGACGGTCGCGTCGTCAGGCACACCCAATCACGGCATACGACATCGATAACAAAACATCAACATTCTCAAACATCGATTTTCAAAATTAAAACATCGGTGTTAAAAATATATCGACGAAAAACTACCTATGTTTTTCAACATCGATGTTTTAAGACTACTTAAATAGCTTCTAACATTAAAATTTCGTGCGCATTATATTACATTTGTGTGCATTAAAATTTTCTGTTTATTAATTCACCGAATAAAAGTACAAGAAGAACTGGTAGACCCTACGCCCACAGCGTATTTGTTGCCTACATCTCAATTAGCGAAATGAATATGAAGAAAGAGGAAATACAAGGACAAGGAGGCGACCTCGGGTGAGAGTTCCGTCGAGAAAGGTAGTATTCCTTTGCGTCCAACACATTGAATTGAATTGAATTGAATTGAATTGAATTGAATTGAATTTGCCTTATTTTACGTGGCGAGACTCGGGCCATCAGGCCCGCTCTTCCGTCTGACCATGCAAATTTCGCTACGCTCCTTTCACCAACTAGGAGAGAAAGGAGGTATTTCTTGGGCGAGAAATAGGCGATTTGAATTTAGCTCAGAGGCGTCATTTAGGCTTGAGGATCTTTTACATGCAAGTAAATCTACGAACATGGGACAGCCGGCTTTACTTCCCCTCCGAAGGAAGGAGTTCGATCGGGTTTGAACTCGCCAACTTGGGTACAACAGTCCGGTACGCTAATCGTTACACCATCGCCGCCGCTAACACATGAACTTATAAGGTTAGCATTAAATTTTATTTCATAGTTTAACTTTTAGTTTTGTGATCATGGACATTTTTCATTCATATACAAATCATCGGAAAAGGAAAACATCAAAAATATCAATGTTAAAAATCTGCTTTTTTACATCGATGTTTAAAACATCGATATTTCTACGAAAGCATTGACATCGATGTTTAAAACATCGATATTTCTACGAAAGCATTGACATCGATGTTTAAAACATCGATATTTCTACGAAAGCATTGACATCGATGTTTAAAACATCGATATTTCTACGAAAGCATTGCCATTAAGTCGCATCTCTACACCCAGTGACTGGATGCGGAAGTTGGGCAGCGACGGGCGCGGGGTCGAAGGTCACTGGGGCGATGCCCATCGCCCTCGACCCGCGGGCACACATTTCCATAACTGATGCGGCCGACACAAGAACTTCCCCTCCTCTCCCATACCCAACAATTTCAGTATTCCGAATTTCCAACGGGTACAAAAATTTAAAGAAAACCATGTAGACCCCGACCATGAGAGTGTGATTTCGATAGATAACCAGGAACTCCATAAAAATCACAAATCAATGAACATTTCGATTTCGATTGGAAAATTTAAATATTTGATTGTGCTATTCCGCGTATTCTCATACTGCGCGTAGGGACTGAATGATCATTCACACTGCGCCACTGATTACGATAACTTACATCGAGCGACAGCAAAGCAACAACAAAAAGGCCGTCCGCCATTAAATATTTTTTATTCCACGTATTGCGTTACGTACAGCAAATGCTTTTGTACACTGTTCGTATGTAAAGAAGAGTTGTACAGTTATTATATAACACCATAATTTTTGCAATATTCGTGAATACCGTTTTTGTTAAACATACTTAAATTCTTGAAGTGTCATACGAAATAATTTTATCTGTTCTTGTGCAATGTGCTTGCTATTTTCTGGAAAACTATTTTGTATTTTTGTTCAGCAGTATTTTTTTTATAATTGTGTAGATACAATGACATAGATAAACAAAACAACACGAATATTAGTGACTACAATTTTACATAGATTTCGAATTTTTCTCGTTTCTTACAAACTATGCTACCGAGAAGGGATCCTGAGAACAGCTAAATAGCTATTTATTATTATTATTATTATTATTATTATTATTATTATTATTATTATTATTATTATTATTATTCTCATTATTAATATTATGATTATTATTAATACATAATTTGCATGTTGGCTATATTATCTTATTTATGTAATTAGCTGCCACCGGGTTACACCCAGTTGCAGTTTAAATAAATGTATCAGTATCTATACATATTTGCATGAACTCGCATTCCCGTGGAATAGAGAAGCTTTACAAACTTGCCTTCACGACCTCGCAAAGCATCCTGCTTCTTTATTTAGGGTCTTCTAGCATAATACCTCGTTGCTACTGCTTAAGAAACTCGCCACCCGCCTGTTCCCACTTCCTCACATCAGGTCCAGCAGGTTTTAGGGCCTTAACACTCATCGTTTGCGTGTTGTGCTCCATTATGTGTGTTGCAGTAAATTTTTGGCATAATCCGAACACTTCACTTGTTTTCATCTGAAATCTGCTGGCAGAGTCATCCCCATATACAGCCCTAGCATACTTACGGGATTTTGTGTCACTACTTTCTTGTAAATTGCCAAAAAGTCTTGTTTCCTTAGCGTTATTTTAAAGGCATTATTATTATTATTATTATTATTATTATTATTATTGTTATTATTATTATTATTATTGTTATTATTATTATTATTATTATTATTATTATTAGCATGTATTCCATTTCTGACTACGCTTTAAGTTCTCTTCCGTGGCCCCGTCATATTCCACACAGTAGAGAGATCAACGTGTGCCATTTTAGGTATCAGCTCTTCGGCTGTATCCCTTGGTAAGACAAGGTCGTTAAGCCTCATATTATGAATTATGAAGAACTAGGTTGATAATGAGAAGTGATCGTGGGCTTTTTGATGCATCCCAGCATTCGCCTGTGTGACCGAGCGTAACCACGATAACCTCAGAGGATGGCCGGCCCGGAGATCGAATCCGGGCCTCCGGACCACAAGTCAATCCGGTCTCCCAGCACATGTGGTAGGGTAGTGTAGTGTATGGTAGTGTGTGTAAAAGTAAGAGGTGCGGATAGGGAAAGAGAGAGGGGGGAAAGATAGCGCACGGTCCGTGGCCCGTTTGTTAGGGTACTGCTCCGGCATTCGCCTACTACCAATGAAAAAAACCACGGAAAACTGCAGCCAGCAGCTGCAGTTTTCCGTGGTTTTTTCCAGCTGACTTCACAGTATTTACGATACACGTTAATGGAACAATGCAAACTCCTTGTGAAAACAATCTCTAAACTATGCACGCACTGAACTCGTACCTTGAGACATTCAACTGCTGGCGCTCCCGCCCACATTTCTGGGGGAAACGAGCGTTTCTCAGATCAATGCGGTCTTAGGAGTTGCATATCTGTCTCAGAATGTGTCCACAAAACAATTCGCCGTTTTACTGTGTACGAGAACTTCGTAATTCGGGAAAGTAAAACCAAAAGCAGAAACAAAAATAAGTACATAATTAAATAACAAATAATAAATAAATAAATAAATATATAAATAAATAATATATAAATAAATAATAAATATATAAATAAATATATAAATAAATATATAAATAATAAATATAAAATTAAATTAACTGCTCTCCTGGCCTGAAGGGACTATAAGAGGGCAGAACGAAAGGCTAGCGCAAGTGAGGCGCTGTTCACTTCCGGTCCTTCCGCCCATGTGTTCTGGTCGCGCCTTCCCCGGCAGCCATTACCGCCCCCTCCACCGTCCACCCCACCCCAACCCCCCCACCCCTCCACACCACCCGGCGCGTGCCGTCAGCATCACTCACGCCGCCCGCTGCGGGCGTAGCGTTACCGCAGCTCCATCACGGAGAAAGAGGACTCTTCATATAAAATGTTTCAATTTAATGATTTATTTTTTTCTTAAACACAAAATACTTACTACTGACTGAATACTTCAATGATGATCATCACTTTCATAATCACACAATACGCTTACTTCATTATCGTTATTGTCTTTTCCCACTTTCATACCACAAGTAATCGTTGGAAGATGACATCCCCCTCAATAATTAAAACTACGTTTTGCTTTGAACCTTGTTACGCACGCTTTGAATTTATGAGTATACCATTGAACAAGTCATTTTTTTTGGCATTCTGTTCAAAAATTGCACACTGAAGTGCAGTATTAACTCTACATGCCAGCCGAATAGTATTAATACCGCAGAGCATAGAATCAATGACGAGCACCTTCATGAAACACTGTACCAGCTTATGGCAGCAATGTCGCTCTTCATGGACAAGAGGACTTAAATGAAGAGCTCGTTGATCTATGGATTTTGGATGATATTGCGAAAAATCTAATGACATTTACTTATAAAACAATTAAATATTATGTCGAGGACTCAAAAAATGGAATAAAATGCAGTATCATTCGTTCATCATACGTTTAGGTTTCATTGAAAAGAAGTATTCCCTTTCCAATAAAAAAAAGAGGACATTTCGTCCTTACTTGTAAAATCCACACGGACACTTCAAAAAGAGGGCATGACGGGGGAAAAAGGGACTATGGTAACCCTAGCAGAGCCCTTGGCCCGCACAGACTATGCAATGACAAGTCTGTGCTGCCGATCTTCAGCCAATGAGCTTCAGACACCAGTTTGCGTCACAATATTCGCGGCGATTTTTAATGCAACCAGATATCAAATTGTTACAAGTGACAATTGTCACTAGTAAATATAACTTCCGCTTTGAATAATTTTGTATTGATTTAATATTGTATCCAACTGCATGATTATGTTAATTTAATACCGTACCCAATAATATATGTTATTTTATAATGTGTCTGCACCTGTAATAGTCACTAATAACCAAGGTGTTGGTTCGAGAACACATTTTTTTTAAATTATCGCCTAGTTTCAAGTCATCCAAACGAGTATATAAAGCCCTTTATATCATTCTATCTTTTATTTCAACTATATTATTTTTGATTGGTCACTTTGTTTTGGTGGTCAGCACGATTTTTTCTCCTGCTGAGAATCTCTTTGGTCTGAGGAAGTATGTAATTTCAGTACCTTCCTACAAAGGGATATTTTCAACAATTATTTTGTTCCGGTTTGACCAGTGCAGTGGATTGAAGCTATCAATGATTGCAGCCTTCCAGAGCAAAGAAGACTCTGCGGTTACACGTTTTGCTCAATGTTTACACGCGGAAAATAATGGATAAGAAGTAATATGAAAGGAATAGTTTGTACACTGATAAGTGCGACGTACCGTTTTCATTTATTATTATAATCTCTTTGGGATTGTTAAAAATTGTGTGTTAAAAAATTCACATTTATTTTATGTATGTAAACATTCACCCGTTTCTTCATCCATACGACTTACAAAATTGGTTTTCCATTGTAATTAACTTTTCACGAACAACATTTTTAACACGCTTTTGTCAAGTTGTTTCCCTTTATATTGAGGTTTATTTCACTTATCGGTTTGGCCTTTATCCACTTCTGGCTACGTGCTGACTCCCATTCCGCAGCGGCTAGTGACGTTTCAAAATGTGGGTCGATTTCCGTGGGGTTAAAAGGCACGTCCTCACGTCCCGTTTATCTATCACACAAATCGGACATACGCTCTTAGCGGAAACTATCTCAATGAAAGTTACTAATCGCTGTCCCATTCTTCTTTGTGCTTGACACTCTGGCCTCGTCAAAGGCAGTATTGGCACGTGAGCGCTGGATGATATTTCGCGGGTAATCTGAAGCGAATACGTGATTTCAGCCCAATAATTTTGATCCTTTCAGTCTAGTTACTTATGTTCAATGTTTCAACATGACAACAATAGTATTGTTTAGTCACACTGTGCGCTGCAAGGGAGTGTCAACAAAAAGATGCTCTCGGGGATCAGTGGCGAAGTCGCTTGCCTTTCACCACTGGAGTTCCGGGTTCGATTTCCGTAGAATCCGCGTAGAACCTTCAGTGAAATGTTACTACCAAGAGTTTGGCTGCTTCACATGGGCTAGTCCAACCTCTGTGAAGTGTCCTAAACCCTACCCCCAAAATCTAATTTCCTTCCAATTCTGGGCGCGGGTAGTGACACAGGAGCGCGTGGTAGGAGGCGCGACGCGGAGATGCTTACCTCGCCCGGTCCTCTTGACAACCGGACAACGAGACGTTGACATGAAATTATTAAATGTAGGATAGCTCCCAATAATAAGCGCACTAAATAAAAGGAGGATTTTACGCCTAAGCGCGTTGGTCTATTGCAGACGTTAACAAATTTTAAAAAATGCGACCACAGGAGCGCTTAGTAGGAGGCGCTACGCGGAGATGCGTACCTCGCGTCCTCTTGACAACCGACAACAGACGTGACATTGTTACATTAGTAATGTAGGATAGCTCCCAATAATAAGCGCACTAAATAAATGGAGGACTACTCCAAGCGCGTTTGCATCTAATGGCCCAGACGTAACAGAATTTGTAAAAAATGCGACACAGTGAGCGCCTTAGTAGAGGCGCGTCACGCGGAGATGCTACCTCGCGCGTCCTTTCGAACAACGACAATTGAGACGTGACATGACATTAGTAATGTAGGATAGCTCCCAATAATAAGCCATAAATAAATGGAGGACTACTCCAAGCGCGTGTGCATCTATGCAGACGTAAAACAAATTTTAAAAAAATGCTGACACAGGAGCGGCTTAGTAGGAGCTGCGTACGCGGAGATGCTACCTGGCGGTCCTCTTGAAACCGACAACGAGACGTTGACATGACATTAAGTAATGTAGGATAGCTCCCAATAATAAGCGCACTAAATAAAAGGAGGATTACGCTAAAGCGCGTTGCGTCCTATGCAGACGTAACAAATTTAAAAAATGCGACACAGGAGCGCTTAAGTAGGAGGGCGCGTACGCGGAGATGCTACCTCGCGGTCCTCTTGGACCAACGAAAAACGAGACGTGACAGGACATTTAGTAATGTAGGAAGCTCCCAGATAATAAGGCGCACTAAATAAAAGGAGATTACGCTAAGCGCGTTGCGTCTATGCAGACGTAACAATATTTTAAAAAATGCACACAGGAGCGCTTAGTAGAGAGCGCGTACGCGGAGATGCTACCTTACGGTTCTCTTGACAACGACAAAGAGACGTTGACGATGACATTAGTAAATTTAGGATATCTCCCAATATAAACGCACTAAAAAATGGAGGGCTAGCTCCCTACGCGTGATACTCCGTTGCGTCTAGTGCAGGACGTAACAAATTTAAGAAAAATGCGACACAGGGAGCGCTAGCTAGGAGGGCGCGTACGCGGAGATGCTTACCTCGCGTTCCTCTTGACAAACCGACAACGAGACGTGACAAGGACATTAGTAATGTAGGCAAGCCCCAATAAAATTAAGCGCCACTAAATAAAAGGAGGGATTACGCTAAGCGCTTGCGTCTATCTGGGACGTAGATAAACTGAAAAAAACGCGAACATAAGCGGGTGCCGGATGAAGGTATCTGCGAGGTCCGAGACATTAAAAGGGTACCTGATGATTACGTATTTATCGAAATTGAGAATTGGATGAAAGGCAGAAAGAGAGAGAATAAAGGACACTAACTTCAAATGAGCACATTTTCCTGAACGAGTGAAATTGGGAATAAGGAAAAATATTTTACACAATTGTAATGTGAAGTGGTAATTATATTTTGCAATAAAAATAATACAATACGAGTGAGTTTTAAAAGCAATGGCCCACATACACAAAACACCATTTGTTTAAGAGCAAACTGGAAGCGTATTTCTGAAGTTTACGTTTCAGATAAATCGTTTACGCGATTTAGCAGCTGCAAAATGATTTATTATTATGAAATGTTCGTTTTCTCTTAAAAATCTAAATTGTGTATAGTATTTGATGAGCGTCGATGTGTAGTACATAGTAGTAACCATGATGTTTCGTCAGAATTTTATTTCTTTAATTTTATCTTCGTTATTATGTTTATAAACACATGTTTAAATTTCTTTAAGTGATTTAGAGGATTGACGTTTATATACCACAGGCCAAAATATATTAGTCGATTGGAAACCGACGTACCCTCCTGTCTGTATCCATTTCACTACACATTTTTCACATAAAAATTCCAAATTAATATTGCATACCTTAAAAATGCTCATACTTAAAATTCACAGACAGCATTCTATTCGACCGCCACTGTATTTCACGAATGTTCTCTGAATTGCAAAACTGTTTAGGTCCTGAGAAGAACTGTTTCTATGGATCTTGTTTTACATAAGAGGTTCTCTGACAAGCAGTGATTAATTAAAAGTGAACTTGTACATTTCGAGACACCACAGACTATTTAGAAAAACATCACAATTAAAACATTAACTGTACGCTGTTATCCGTTATTTATCTTGTCATGGGGTAAAATATGGTTGAAATATATAAATTCCACTTTTATGTATTTAATTTTTTGGTACACTAACGTTTCTGTAACATTTACAAAAAGGTGCTACAGCGCTAAGCCCGTAGCACGTGCTTCAATTCCCTTTATGTAAAACCGGCCTTTGCGCAACTGGAGATGCGATATCGCCAACAAAATTTCGATGTTTCTAAGCATCATTGCTTAAAACGTCAATGTTCATAAAACGTCCTCTCGAAACTATGTTTTTAAAACTGGATTACTAACCATTGAAGTCTTGGGGGAGGGGAGGGTAATTTGAAATGGATGTCTTTTAAAAAATATATTTTAGTTTGAGATTTAACTGACAAAACTAAATCAGAAAATCATTAAGACATTTAACGAAATTTGGATTATGTCATTCGATAATTCAAAAATAATACAGGTTTCTTTATTCAGGAAAACTATTTTAATTATTTTTCACCCTTGGTCACATTCGTCTGCAGAATATTCAATTTATAGGCTTCTGAAAATTTTAATCTTTAATTACAACGTAGTTTTTTCCATTCAAAAAAATATCAACCACGTAGAAACATCGACCACAAAATATCGATTTAAAATAAAAACATCGGACCCAAAAAATTTGTTAAATACGCACGAATTGGATGATTTTCTAAGAACATGGGGGTTTTGAAAAAACATCGACATGGCTGTCGCCTCTCCACAGGTTGGTTTCTCTATAATAGCCGATGACATTAGGTCATTGTTTCATCTCCTGCCTTATAAAATGAACGTTTTGAAACAGCCGTAAGTACATTCCTGAGGCCACGCGCCTCGTTGAAGGACGTTCGCGAATTAAGTAACAATATTCATTTTATAAGACTAGATGTGAAACTATGACCATGTCAACGACCACTATCGAAAATATCCGAGTTCAGGTGAGAACAGTCAACCTGACAGAGCAAGCGACAACGCAAACTTCCCGCTGAATAATATTTTGGGTTCAATGAATGCCCAAGCATATTATTAGTTTTATCAATTTATTAATATTGAAGACATCGGGGGTAATAACATGTTATGCTACTATACTTTCCTTTTTTTCTCAAAACTTTGTAAAGGTTTAAAAAGTTCCATAAGTAAGTCCGATATAGCCATGCCACGCATATATTTATTTATTACAATCTATCAACCTTCACAAATGAAATATTCGCAATATGTCCAATCATACATCATACGAGGTGCCTTGTTTCGCAAGAGGGAAGATATTCATCGGACCCAGCTCTCCCGCCAGCGCGTGTCAACAAAAGACTCATACCTGTCCCGCACCCCACAACGCAAACTGCCCGGGGCCGACCCGTCATAACCTTTCCAACCGTCGTCGGGTCGGTGCCTGCCTCACTCATTCACTCACCGTGCACAGCTCCGCAATCCACACCACTCCATTGCGTAGCGTCACGCCGCAACAGCTCGTCAGCGGCGAGAAGTGCGACGCCAGCGTGTAGGAAGACATCTTGACTCGACTCGACTCAGCTCGGCTCGACACAACACGACCGCACCGGCGCTCGGCTACGCGCTGACTGGCTGGGAGAGGGACGACTCGCCTCCGCCGCCCCGCCGCCGACAGCTGAGGAGCGCTGGCATCGCAGGCGGCCGTGACCTCGAGGCGCGCACAGTGGGCCGAAACCAACCAACGAGATGGAATAAACTACATAGAGCCTCCAACTTCGAAGCAAGTTGAAGCCGTGCTCTTTGCGGTCAACCAACGGACTGGAATAAACTACATAGAGCCTCTAACTTCGAAGCAAGTTGAAGCCATGTTCTTTGCGGTCAAAACAGCGCCCTCTCAGCAAGAATTCAATATAATAATATTATGCTATTTCAATTTTATGAAATATAAATCAAAATCTGTTGTAGAAATCAGGATTAAGAAAGGACTTTCTTGTAAAACAATATATTTGTGGTTTTCTTACCTCTGTTTTGACAGTTATATGCCGAAGATTCTGAAGGCATTGGCAATTCTAACCACTAATGTAATTTAAGTACAGTTAACCGAAAAAGACAACAAAATAAACGACAACAACAACAAAAAGATGGCGGCCCCCGCCGCGACTCTTCTTCTTCTTCTTCTTCTTCTTCTTCTTCTTATTATTATTATTATTATTATTATTATTATTATTATTATTATTATTATTACTATTATAATTATTACTATTATTATTACTATTCTCCTCCTCCTCCTGGTTCTTCTTCTGCTCCTCCTCCTCCCCCTCCTCCTTCTTCTTCTTCTACTTCTTCGTTTCAAATGAAAAATGACTAACGTGAAAGTTTCTGCGTTCTCCTTCGTCTGATTAATTCGTTTCCAGGCCCTTCAACTGGTAAGGTCATCAGTCGCGTAAGTGTAGTGCATGTTTCTTCCTCGACAGGTCGCGGTGGTATTCTTCAGCTGGATGGCGAGATCCGGTGCCGACCTTCACATCGAATTCCGGGTTTCCCCAACTAGGTATTTCCCATCAGCGGGATACAGCCCCAGCCGGGACAAGCTCTGGGCTCCCGACCGCTCTCGCGGCATGTGTAGTGTAATTAAAGTAAGTTTATGTGTGTATATATGTGTGTGTGTGTGTGTGTGTGTGTGTGTGCGTGTAAGAAAAGGATGAAAATAGGACAAGAAAGAGAAAATATCGCGCGCGGTCCTTTTATATGGTACTGCTCCGGCATTCGCCTGGATTGGAGAAACTACGGAAAACTACCGATCAGAGCAGCTGGCCCCTCGAATTGTCCTCCTGACCGGTTGAATTAGATCTAGCTACATAGCTAGTGTCGAAAATCATGCCATCGTCGTGTCTCGAACCCACCCGAACCGATCTCCCGGTCAGAGAGAGTGCAGAGACATCAGGGGGCCCTGAGAACCAAAGCCGGTACTTCGATAATCCTCAACGCGATCGCAGTGGGCCGAAACAAAATACTACCGCGCACAAAAGAGGAATTGAAGAGGGCCATTACAACAGTGGACTAAATGTACACGTAGGCTTCCGCGGCTCGAGTCCATTACTTCTAGGCTGTCCGGGTGACGCCGCGTCACCCGGACACGCGCCAATCACGGCGCACTTGCGTTGCCCGACCACTAGCTGAATAAGATATAACACCGGAGACGGAGCTTTACTTGTCAGTACCCTGAAGAAGCCTGCGACATGACAGGCGAAACGTCGGCCTATCTGCCAACGACGCGGCGTCACCCGGACAGCCTAGAAGTAAAGTAACAGTGGACTAAGCCAATAATGTACAAACCGGAAGAGGTGGCTCAGGGTATCAACAGATGTCACTGCCGGGTCTCTGATCGGTAGGTCCTACGGTTACACCCCCGACGGTTCGGCACTAGCCAGATAGCTAGGTGAAATTCGGTCGCTGTATGGAGAAGAATTGTAGAGGCTGGCTGCTCTGAACGAGAGCTTTTCATGGTTTCTCCAATCAACACCAGGCGATGCCGGAGCAGTACCCCGTCCACGGACTGCGCGCGATCTTTCCTTCCTCTACTTCGTCCTATCCTCACCCCTTACATACACACACACACAGTCGTATACACACATTCAGCACACTACCACGCATGCCGGGACATCAGTCGAAAATATAGAGTTTGTTACAGCTGGGGCGGTGCCCCGCTGGTGGGAGATACCTGGTTAGGAAAACCCCGCTAACCGACGGTAGGCTGGCGGTAGGATCTCACCATCCAGCGGGGTGTGGTGAATGTTCGCGGGAGGCAGCGGTGATCTTCCTCCGCTGGTTGGCGAGAACCGACGCCGACTGACGCGTCGACTTGCGGGGTTTGCCCCGACCAGGTATCTCCCTCCAGCGAGCCACCGCTCCAGCCGGGCCAAGCTCTAAGATCTCTTCTGGACCCCAGGCATGTGTGGTGATGTAATCAATCTTTGTGTAGGTTAAGAGTCAGGATAAGATAAGGAGGAAGAAGAAGAAGAAGAAGAAGAAGAAGAAGAAGAAGAAGAAGGGAAGGTCGTGCGCTGTTCTTAACCCATTTGTTAGAGTACTGATCCGGCATTCGCATAGATTAAACAGAGAAACCATGGAGAACTTGTGATCAAAGTAGCCGGTCGCTAAAATTCGTCTGTAGCCAGACAGTGGCTGGATTCCACCTACATATCTAGCTAGAGGCGAAAATCCTACCCCCGCCGGGACTGCAACCCTAGAACCTCTGTCAGAGGCATTGCAGTTACATAAGTTGCTGTCCTGTGCAACCGAAGCCGGTTTGAAGGCAGTATTCATGCACTCTAATAAAAATATGTTCCAGCAAAAGAGTAATATAGAAATAATTGAATGCTTGAGATGGAGTGTGTACCCAGGGTTAAAGGCCCATAAAAGGAGACATGGTTCAACTCCAATAAACCTATCTTCCGAATATATGGATACCACAAACGTTTTTCTTGTAATATCATCTCATTGCAAGTTAATCTAAATTTCTGTTTACTTTGAAAGAGTATTAAGTCATTCTGTTTTCTGTTATTTGACCCCATAGATCCATAGATTACCCCATACATCCATCTATCCATTCATGTATCCTTTCTTGGGTTAAGTTCAACTTCACGAAACTAAGATCAGCTTCTTGTTAAGAGTGAATAACACCCCTCTATTAACAACAAAGATCAGTTTGGTATTGAAAAGAAAGCGTGTTTACTCAAATTTTCTAATAAACCATGGCATATTGACTACTAACAATGACAGTCTATCAATTATCCCAGTATTTTCACATAAAGGGGGTCCCACCAACTATGGGCTACCCACATAACTTTTATATATATATATATATATATATATATATATATATATATATATATATATATAATATATCTTTATTAGTGAACGAATATACATAGTTCAGTATTATTTATACTACATCATATGTATTTTTATGACTTATATTTAACTTAAATGCTAATCTTACACCTAAATCTAACTACTCACGAATTCTTCTAAACGATTCCCGATAGAGATATTCAGTTTTCGATGAACACTGCAGAATCATGGGTAAGTGTTATCAATGATTATTAAATTTGTCGAAAACTAAAAATAACTAATAAAAACTCGGCGACGGCGATGGTAAAACCGTTAGCGTATCGGACTGTTTATACCCAAGTTTGCGGGTTCGAAGCCGTGGATTTTTAAGGGCGAAAAAATCCTTCGTACGCTTTCCTTCGGAGGGGAAGTAAAGCTGGCTGTAGTAGATTTAGTAGATTTACTTACATGTAAAAGATCCTCAAGCCTAAATGACGCCTTTGTGCTAAATTCATTACGCCTATTTCGTCGCCCAAGAAATACCCCATTTCTCTGCTAGTTGGTGAAAGGAGAGTAGCGAAATTTGCGTGGTCAAACGGAAGAGCAGACCTCACGGCCCGAGTCTCGCCACGTAAAAGAAGGCACAATATGGAACAATATATCTATGGAGCATTACTTACACCATGATTCCTTTGCCCCATTGTTAACGAAAACTGCATTTCGACATCGGGAGCCGTTTAGAAGTTATGGGGGTGGTTATGGGGATGGGGGGGGTCACCAACCATAGTTGGTGAAACTTCCGGCATTGTATCCACTTTAGCTATCTAAAGTCAAAGTTTACAGATCCTTGGGTGAGTTTCGTATGAGTTATTATATTACACAGGTCTTGTAATGATCCACGGCCCATTATATAAAAAACTACATTCGTTGTCGAAATAAGTTTTATTACATCACAAATCTTCTATGGCGTTTAGAAGGTACTAGAATTAAAATTTGAGAACTACGTCAAACCGAACTACACTCCAGAACTATGCAGAATCGAAGACGACGGCGGGGGACAGAATGTCATGGCAGAGACAAGGCATTTTTTGCCTTTAGGATTATGACGATGATGTGTACAAGTATAAACAAACCGCATTTTAGGTACCGTTTTGCGCTCCAGTAGTTAATATTTAACTCTTATCCCTTATCTCTCTTACTCCACGTGAAACCCAACTTTTAGGGCTGCCGTGTCAAGGTCACAGCTTACTAGAGATCTCGGGCACTGCGTCCAGAGAAATTGGCGCGAGATTTAAAAGCAGTTGTTGTACAAACTCCTGGGTGGCGACTCGCCATAACCTGGCCCAGAACAGGTTTGGAGAAGTTACTTGACAGTTATTGCCAAAAATGTAGTTATATTAATTCTTATTTACTCTACTAAACATTTGTATGAAACACATGACTCATATTCGTACTGAGAGAAAAATTGAAGACTTTTAACCGAAATCTTGTTGAATTAGTAACCGTTGGTTGTAATAAAACGTCGCCGGCTCATAGCGCTTTCAATTCCCCCACCTCCTTTCCTGAGGCTTTTCCAGCCTAGGGGATGACAATTCTCGACTCTACGGGTCGGCCACTCACCGCGTCCCACATGTGGACACGTATTAACCTTTACACTCAACGCACTTCCGAGCTCTGTCTGTGCTCAGCAGACCCACACGGCCGGCCGTGATAACACACACACTACGTTAAAGACAAGGGGCAAACAACAATGCTCACGGCGGGACTCGAACCCGCGATCCATCCAACCGAGGCACAGGAGT